GCTCTGCCAGGAGCCCTGCCAGGGAGGGGCCCTGCCTGTCCCCGGCCACGCGCTTAGTGGCATCCTCCTCTTCTTGAGTCGCTCACCCCACGGGACGGGCTGGGACCAGGCAGGGACAGCGCAGGCCCACAGCTCAGGGATTCTGGGGCCACAGAGGCGCGCTCTCCAGGGGGGCTGGGAGGGTCGGGGTGCAGCGGGGGAGAGCTGACCGGAGCTGAGTCACCGGGCTTTTGGGGTCGGTGGCCAACTCCCTCCCGTGCCGTTTCAGGCCAGAGGTCCAGGAGCTGGATGGCACCGCGCCGTGCCCAGGCCTGGCCAGCGGGAAGCCGGAGGACGGCGAGGAGGAGGAGGAGGAGGAGCTGGAGGAGGAGGACGATGACAGCCTCGCGGGGAAGTCCCAGGACGACAACGTGTCCCCCGCGCCCGAGCCCCAGGGCGCTTACGAGGACGAGGAGGACGAGGAGCCCCCCGCCTCCCTGGCCGTGGGCTTCGACCACACCCGAAGGTGGGTGCCGGCCTCCGGGCCATGGCCGGGCAGCTGAGAGAGCCGGGGCCCAGCCAGGGAGGACCCTGAGCACCACGAGGGCGACTCACTCCCAAACCTGCAGAGAGCCTCCCCCTCCCTGCTGGCCCCTCCTCCCTGCAGTGTCTCTACCATGGGGGCTTCTGCACGTAGGCCAGGGAGAGCCCCGGCCTGGGGAGGGGCCAGGCCCAGCCACGCACACACACACCACATGCAAACATGCACACACACATGCAAACATATGCAGACGTGCACACGCAGACACATGCATAGACCTGTGCACGTGCGCATGCACTCGCACATGTGTGTACCCACAAACACGCACATGTGCACACACAAGGTGCATATGTATGCAAACATGCATATGTGCAAACACGTGTGTGGGCATATGCGTGCATGTACATACACTCATGTGTGTGCATGCACATCCAGAGGCCTGGGAGCAGAGTGGAGGGGAAGGCACGGAGCGAGCTGGTCCAGCCGCAGAGCCACATAGTATCTGTCACCTGGGGGTGCCGTCCAGCGTCCCACGGGCGCTGTGGTGCCGAGACTGAGCCCCGTAGTTTTGGAAGTTGTGCCAACCAGAGCCCCTTCCCCTGCATCCCGAGTGCTGGCCACGCCCCTGGCAACGGGCAGTGCCAGCTTCCAAGAGCCCCTGAGGAGTCGCTCCACAGACAGCCACCCCCCGGGTCCTGGGACTGGGGTCCTGAGCCCCCCAACTGCCCAGACTCTTGGGAACCAAGGCCTCCCCTCTGTCCTTGTCCCTGGAAGTCTGGATGCCCCGCCTGCTACTTGCAACACGTGTGCGTGTACTCACCCGCTCCGTGGTCCTCTGTCCGTGCTTTCCTGCATCCGTGTGGCTTCCGTCCTGGTGTCCGTGTGTCTGTGTGTCTGTCTTGTGCATGTGGCTCGTGGAGACCCGTGGCGTCACGTGTCTGTCATGTGCATGCGGCGTCAGGGCCGAGGCCGCGGCTCACAGGCCTCTCCGGTTGGTGCAGGTGTGCTGAGCAGCCGCCGGCGGGCGGTCTCTTAGCTTTGGAGCCGATGCCGACTTTTGGGAAGGGGCTGGACCTGCGCAGAGCAGCCGAGGAAGCGTTTGAAGTTAAAGATGTGCTTAATTCCACCCTAGACTCTGAGGCTTTAAAACAGACCCTGTACAGGCAGGCTAAGAACCAGGTAGGTACCCGCAGAGCCCTCCCACCTCCCAGGCAAGGCAGGGGCAGCCTTACCTCTCTCTCGCATGGCCACCCCGGGCCTGCCTGAGGGCCCAGGACCCCCTGGCCCGCCCGTACCCATGGCATTGGCTAAAGAGACGCCCCAGCGACTGGCACGTCCCTGCAGCAGCAGCGGGGAGGGAGGGTTGAGAGCAGAAGGACGTGGACAGGTCACTCAGGGACTGGAGGTCACTGTCCTCTCGTCCCCAGAAGGCGGTACCGCAAGCAGGTTCCCGGGTGAGGCTGCCCTGCCCCCGCCCTCTGTGACCTGCCAGAGTGCCGGAGCCGGGTTTCCTCGTAGCCAGCTTCCCGCGGGGGCACGGGGCCGCGCTGGAGCCCCGATGGGGTCAGGGAGGACGCAGGCTTGGCCGGGGCCCGTTCCCGAGTGTAGCGGCCGCAGAACCCGCCTCCCGTCTGGAGTCCACAGGGTCTCCGTCAGCTCTGCAGCTCCCGAGTCTCAGCAAAACCGTCTGTGTGTCTGTCTGTGTCTTTTTACTAATTCTGTCCGGTGTTGACTCCCCACCAGCCCGCCCTGCGGGTGCCGTCACCTCGCACCCCGTGGCTCACGGCAGAAGGTGCCCTGGGACTGAGTACGTGCGTGTCCCCCCACACTGCCCGTCCCCACGGCGTCCCCTGGGCAGGGCCTGACTGCGGACGGGGTCTTAGCGATGACCCACCGGCACCCCCAGGGCCCCACAGTGCCTGCTTGCCCACGGGTTTGGTCACCAGGCGGAGAAAAGGGGTAGAGGAGGTGACTGCAGGGGGAACACCCCAAGAGGACAAGGGACCCCTCTGCCGGGGCCATGGCGTCCGAGCTCCCCTCTGCGGCCTCCCGTCTCCCTCATCCAGGCCTGGCTGGGGGGTCTGGCCTCCATGGGCCGGGCCCTGGCACCGACCCTCTCTCCTCCCGTGTGGGTCTGAGTGGGCCAACGGACGGGGTCTTAGCAATGACCACCGGCACCTCCGGGGCCCCACAGTGCCCGCTCGCCCATGGGTTTGCACGTCACCAGGCGGAGAAAAGGGGTGGAGGAGGTGACTGCAGGGGGAACACCCGAGAGGCCAAGGGACCCCTCTGCCGGGGCCATGGCGTCCGAGCTCCCCTCTGCGGCCTCCCATCTCCCTCATCCAGGCCTGGCTGGGGGAATCTGGCCTCCATGGGCCGGGCCCTGGCACTGGCCCTCTCTCCTCCCGTGTGGGTCTGAGTGGGCCAAGGCGGCGGGAGACGGGAGCGGGTGAGGACGGAGCCGGCTGGGGTCCCACGGCTCACCTGCCGCCTGTGTCCCGTGTCCTCCCCGCCAGGCGTACGCAATGATGCTGTCCGTCTCCGAGGACCCTCCTCTCCGCGCCTCCGCCCAGAGCCCCCTGGATGCGTGGCTGAGTATCACGGGACCCGCGCCCGAGGCTGGAGCCTTTAACCCCATCAACCACCTCTGACCGGCCCGGGGGGCTGGGGCTCGCGAGGTGACCTCGGGCCCACGGCTCCTCGGTGTCTGCCCCTGGTCTCACTCGCCTTTCCCAATGGAAACCCAGAAGCCGAAGTCCCTGAGGTCGTCGGGCCCGTGTCTCTGAGAACCGGTCTCCAGGGCACCATCAGGACGCTCGGGGCCGGAAGGAGAGGGGCAGACCCGGTGTGCCCGGCGGAGGAGAGGCCCACACGATTTTTATAGTGAAAATGACCAGAACAGCCCTTTTGGTAACCTTATTGACGACAGAGTCTATTTAAGCATGTGGTTTTAATAATAGACAGTATTTTTTAAAAAGAAATTGAAAAAGGACTTGCAAATTGTTTTGTAAAAGTAATTTTGCATCGCTTGGGAACCTGAGCTTATTGGCAAAGCCACGCCCTCCCGGGCCCGCACGGGCTGCGCGCGGCCTCTGTACTGTAGCGAACGGGGAAGTTTTCTGTCCTCGACCCTCTTTGTAAAGCCAAGGTAGTTTGGTGGCGGCGGGCAGGCCGGGCACCGGGCCACGCCTGTGAGCCAGTTCAGACTGCACCAAGGACTCTGAGACGTGTCCCAGGCCGCCCGAGGCTGGGACTGGGACATGTGCCTGTCATTGTGTGACATGTGATCCGTGCCCGTGGCCCGCAGGCGGCTCCTCCCTAGACCCCCCAATTATGTGGGAAGGTCGGAGAGGTGGGCCGGGCAGCTGGCGTTCCTCCCGGTCTGTCCTCGGCCACCCGGGCCGGCCCCCACCGCTGCTCTTCAGAAGGCAGGCCTGCTGGCCACCTCCTGTCTGCTGGCCA